TCTCTAATAAGCTAAGAAATTCTTTGAGCCTTTTTGGTCCTGGTGCTTCAACTGTAGACCTTTGAGTCTGAATCTGTCCCTTGACCCAAAACTTTTAAATAAGTCTCCTGTCTGACTTTCCCAGTTTTTTAAAAAAGATGACTTTCATTCTAGAGATGCAATGAGTTAAATCCTCACCCTATTTCATTTGCTTTTGGGGTGTTTTTGTCTAGGTTGTTCCTTAAAATGTTTCTGATTAAGATAAGAATTATCTTAAGAATTAATTAAGGCCTGGAAGGATTTCATTACTAGAATGGCAGGTAAATGCCACAAATCCAATCCAATTTAGTAATAAGCAGATGGATAAATAAAATTGATCATAAATGTTAACTGATGTAAGGTGGACTATTAATGGGAGAGGAAGAGAAATGGCTGCAGCATGCAATAGTTTCTGAACATTCAAAGTGAGGTGCATGAATGATGCTCTAAGTCAGGGGTGTCAAACTCGTTTTCATTGAGGGCTGCATCAGGGTTGTGGGGGGCATGACCTCAGGGGGGGCATGGCCAAGGTGTCACTCGTGTTGGGGCGCCTGTGGTGACCTGAGCTCTCTGCCAGCGAAAACAGAGCTACGGAGGGCCGCACGTGGCCCTCCCGACCTCCGTTTTTGCTGGCAGAAGCACCACAGGCCAATCCTTCGATGTTTCCAGGGCGGCCCCGATGGGCCAGATATAAGCCTTGAGTTTGACACCCGTGCTCTAAGTCACACACATGTAAATAGGCCAGAAAATCTGTGCATAGCATGAATCTTTCCTTTTAAACCATGGCTCTCCAACCTTTTTAGCTTGCCTGGGCTGCACTGAGTGAAGAGAAATTTTTTCAGGCCACATGTAAAATATATAATATAGTTCATGTAAACAAACCACATAATAATGTTAAACGTTTATTTTCTTGGGGGTGGCACATTACTGGCTGTCCAGGGCTGCATGCAGCCTGTGGGATGCGGGTTGGACACGCCTGCTTTTAAACCGTTCCGAACTACTTTTAAGTTTCCGTTTCCCCCAACTTTAAAACGGAAAGTTAAATTCAGTGCCATGCTGGGGAAACTCGAAATGACAAACAGACGTTACAAATCTTTCCTTTGGTACTACAAAGATGCCCACCTCCAGTTAATGTGCCAAGGATGCTGGTTTCGCAAAAGAGAAGGAGGGAATATTTTGCTGGAACAAGGTAACATCTGTACAGGTTTGGCTCCCCAGGTGCAGAAGCTTCAGGGTGCGCGGCCTGCCAGCCACAGGAAAGACAGCTGCTACAACCTCAGTGTGCAGTGCGCATGCAACAGGACAGATAAAGAGGTCTGTGGCTGTCACACCTGCCTTCCTGCCTTCCACCCCCCCACCCCCCCCCCAGTTACAGTTTTGTAAGTGTATCCTCAACAGAGTTCACAGTTTCTTTGTTTTTCTCTGTTTACAAAAGACACAGGTGCAAAATCCAATGAAAGCTTGGTATATTAAGAAACACACTAAACGGTGTATCTCAAATGATCACAGGAAAGCCCAACAACTTGAATTAACTTATATCACATCTCTGCCACTAAATTCACTCTTCAGATAAGGCACTTTCTTTCTGTGTTGCATTTTAAATACACACTCACACACCCAAATACACACAGCTGCATAGAAAGAGAAAAAACAAGGAGCAGTAAGTTGCAAGTAGAGAAGGAAAGCTATTTAGCTATTTCTTTTCCAGCTATTCCTTCAAGTAAATAGTGTTTGCAAGATATGTCCCATAAGGAAAGGAAAGGAGAGGAGAGGAGAGGAGAGGAGAGGAGAGGGAAGGGAAGGAGATGTTGGGTTTTGAGAGACAGGAGTAAAATAAGGTTTAATTAAGTATTCCACCAACCCATCCCCCAAAAAAGTGCTTCTTTGTATCCAACTGAGCACCTAGTTTCTTTTTATTTATTTTATTGATTTAAATATTATGGAATATTGAGGGAAATTTATGTCAATCTGTGGTAGAAAAAATCAGGAAACGTCTGATAGAACCTAACACATTTTAGTAAAAGGCTGAAGTTCACAAAAGCTTAGACCCTTTAATAAAACCTGTTCATCAGAAAAAATGCTGCTAGACTCTTTTAGAAAATTATTTCAGACTTTCAAGAATTCGCTTCTCAATGGTAAAGGCTGGGGGCAAAGCTGGCTGGGGAATTCTGGGTGTTGAAGTCCACACCTCTTCAAGTTGCCAAGTTTGATAAAGGATTTGTAACCACCTCATTGAAGTGTTAACTCACAGTTCGTAAGCTATTAGTAAAGACAGAACGCACAGCAATGCCACTAAGTCTCAGCCACAGTAACAGGTGAGGATGGAGCTGTTTTCCCGTTGCAAAGTGAAAGGGAAAATACCAAGTTGAAAATCAAAGTTGAAAAAAAAATCATATGTCAAGGTGTACTTCTGCCGTGCTTTCCAGCAAATAATAAAAATGGAGGAACACCCAGCCTTGGATTCCAGCCCACGAGAGCGAAGAGTGGAATCATGGGAATATTATTATAGGATTCCCTTCAAGCAGAAACAAGAATGCCAAGTTGCTTTGGTTAGCCAAACCTGCAGTGGAGGGGTGTTTTTTTTTTCTTTCCTTTTTTTCTTTTTTGGAATGTACCATCCCAAAATTGGGGAGTGTCAGTTCAAACCTCAAGAGTGGCACACCAGGCTGATGGAGGAAAGAAACCACATGTTACTACCTCCTTTTAGTATAAATCTGGGTTCCAGGAGGACGCTTCCCTCGTTTTACTGAAGTAATCCACTGAATTGTAAACTAACCGAACAGGCTGAGTTTGCACAGCTTGCTAAGCCAGCAACCAACAGTGAAACCAACGAAGCATGGCAAGCTGTTAGGCTTTAACTGTCTTGCTTAGGCTTGGGTGGGTGAGGGCAGAGTTTTCATACGGGTCACCAAGCAGTCGTTGAGGCTTATGTTCCAGTAAAAAACTCCCACTATCCCCCCCCCAACACATACAGAGCCAGCACCCTGCACATTGTCAGGGGAAAGAGGCCGAGTGAACGGACAGGAGGACACGAGCAAGACAGGAGTCTCCCCGTGGCCTCTCTCTCCTAGCCCCACCTAGGAGAGCCACATGTCCTGGACTTCACTCCACAAACATTGCCAAGTTCACCTTATCAGGCGCAAACAGCTCAGTTTTTCGTAGGGAAAAAAGTCGCTGTTTTTCACAGCGGGCTTCTCGGAGCTATCAATGGATCCATCCAAATAAACAGAGAAACCCCCCCTTCCCAACCTCGCCCCCTCACCACCACTCCTGCAGTTAGCCAGGCTGAGCTATTAACTCAGGGGATATGGTACAAACACATGGCCTCAGACATCAGGAACCAAGCTGAAAGAAATGAAATTGAAAGCACCTTCTTCCTGAGCTGCCAAAAGTTTCCCTCGCTGGATTAAAAATGTTCAAAACGTGCAGTTCGCCCAAGCAGCCAAGCGGCTTGGAAAATCCAACCTAACGCATCCGAAGAGCACCAGGCTGAGGACGGAGGCTTAAATCCTTGCCCCCCCATTCCCTCATACCATCTTTTAAAATCCAGGTTCCTATACTTGGCAAGCAGAACAGCAGCCCAGAAGTTTCATCCCGCCTCTGTAGGATTTGGGGGGGGAAGGGGGGAGGCTATCCTGCCACTCGGAGTTTGAAGAGGAAAGTTGGGCTATCAAGAGTCAGAAGTTTAGAAACTGTAGAGGCCACCTGTGGCCTGATCTAATGCAGAGCCCGGCTAAATCTGTCAGATGGCCATTGCGCGGAGGCAGAGAAAGGGGTTTATTTGCCCCCCAAGGCAAGAAGATGAAACTTCAAGGAAGAGTGGATTGGAGTGGGGTGGGGGGGGTGGGATGAAGGGAAAGGGGGGTTTATTTGCCCCCAAGGCAAGAAGATGAAACTTCAAGGAAGAGTGGATTGGAGTGGGGTGGGGGGGTGGGATGAAGGGGAAAGGGGGGTTTATTTGCCCCAAGGCAAGAAGATGAAACTTCAAGGAAGAGTGGATTGGAGTGGGGTGGGGGGTGGGTGGGATGAAGGGAAAGGGGGGGTTATTTGCCCCCAAGGCAAGAAGATGAAACTTCAAGGAAGAGTGGATTGGAGTGGGGGGTGGGGGGGTGGGTGGGATGAAGGGAAAGGGGGGTTTATTTGCCCCCAAGGCAAGAAGATGAAACTTCAAGGAAGAGTGGATTGGAGTGGGGTGGGTGGGTGGGATGAAGGGAAAGGGGGGTTTATTTGCCCCCAAGGCAAGAAGATGAAACTTCAAGGAAGAGTGGATTGGAGGGTGGGTGGGGGTGGGTGGGATGAAGGGAAAGGAGTGGTACCCGAGGGGAGCGGAGGATGCGGAGGAAAGGTGAAATCAATCCAAAGGGGTTGGGAAAGGAGGGACCGATCTACTTCACCGCTCTCCGCAGCGCGAAAAAGTTTGAAGTTCGGAAAATGAGGAATGTCAAAAAAAAAACAAAAAAAACGTCCAGCTTTCCCGAAAAGTTTACGACCGCTAAACTTCCTACCCTCCTCACCGATTCCCACGTGTCTGAAAAAGCGGGGTTTTTTTTTTCCCCTCAGACGCGTGGGGGGACGAAACCGCTTCTTCCCGCGTTCAAAAAATAAAATAAAATAAAAATAAAATAAAGCACCGCCTCAAAAAGTTGGACCACTCCGGGAACGGCCTCCCCCACCACCACCACCACCACCACTCCCTCTCTTGACATGCTCAGAGGCACGGCGGCCGCTTCTCGCCTGGCAAAAAGCGAGAACCGGAGCGTTACGAAACCTCCTCCGGGGTTACGCCCTGACTCAACCCTGGCAGCTCGAGCTTTCCTACGCGGGCGGGGAGGCCAGGTCCCCCGGGGGAGGGGGGGAAGGGGAGGGGGGAGGCGGACTCCGGCTTTTCCCAAGCCGACCTCCGGGTCCCTTCTTCGCCATCCCCCCCCCGAGACACATCCCAAGCTTCCCCCCCCCCACACACCCACCCCAAGCCGGCTCACCTGAAGTAGTAGACATCGCTCTTGCCGGCGCTCAGCCCCGATTTGCGGATGACCTCCTCCTTCTTCCACCCGGGAGGCAACGCCGGACAGTCCACTCTCTTGCCCCGTTTTTCCATCTGGGAGCCTCGGCGGTGCCCCTCGGCCGGAGACGCCGGAGGAGTCGAAGCCGGAGAAAGTGGGGCGCTCCCCAAGCGAGGCCTGCTGCCGGCCAGCTCACCGGCCCCTTCGGCAGGGGCGGAGGGGAGAAGAGGTCGGCGGAGGGGCGCGCTCCTTCTAGCCGGGCAGCGACGGCGGCGGAGGCGGCGGCGGCGGCGGTTCCAGTGCCCAGCCGGGGCCGCCTCCTTCTCGGCGTCCGCTGCTGCTGCTGCTTCTGCCGCCGTCGAGCCCTCTCGGCCAGTGCCGGGAGGAAGAGTCGGGGCTGCGCGCGCAGGGCTTCGCTTCGGCCAGGTGGCGGCGGCGGCGGCGGTGGAGCAAGAGAAGGAGGAGGCGGCGGCGGCGGCGACAGCGGCTGCTGCTGCTGCTGCTGCTGCTTCCGTAACTGAGCCTCGGAATCCGTGTCATCGGCGCTCGGAACCTCGGGGTCATAGAGCCCGCGCGGCACAGCCAAGGGAGGGAGGAGAGTGGGAAGGATGACGGCGCGCCAGCCAGCCAGCGAGCCGCCGCGCCCACGCCCGCCCGCCCCAGCCACGGTCCCAGCCTCGGCCTCGGCCAGGCAGGCATTCCCGGCTTCCTAAGACCGCCCCTTTCCCTCGATCCCGCCCCGCTTCAGTCCCTCGGAGAGGCGCCGGGCGATGCTGCCCGCTTGCTTCCAAGCCGACGCCTTCCTCGGGGAGGGTTTCAAAGGACGGTTTGCGCGCCTTGGGTGGAGAGAAGCGGGGGGAGACGCTGCCTTTACGCGCCTTCGAAATGGCTGGGCGGAAATCCTGGAATTCCCTTTCGTGTCTGTTTGTGTGTGTGTGTGTGTGTGTGTGTGTCGGGGATTGAGAATTTAAGATCTGTCGTCGGAAAAGAAAGGCAGGAACCGTGCCCGGGACCATGTGCAGAGTTCTTTTCTCCTTAAGAGTCCCCGGGACGCTTAGCAATCGATGTCTTTTTTTTTTTTTTTGGAAATGACAACAAAACGATGTGGAGTTGTAACTTTTTAATCCGGATTTTTGAGCCCCGTGCGGAGTAGCTCTTTCTTTCACGGCCAATATAAAACCGATAGATTTCCCGTATCTAAACTTAAGAGGAAACTTTCCACCAGAGCTGCTGAGAGTGGAGATTTCCCCCCCTCCCTTCCCCCGGGGTACAACCTCTGAGGCTAAGAATCGGCGAGAAAGAACGGAGTTGAGATTGGCAAGGTGATCTCTGACCATGTGCAGAGTACTCGCCCCAGATCATCCCCCGCCCGTGCCCCCGCCCCACCTAACGCGCCAAACTGGATCTAATGGGTGCAACGGGAAGTCCTGAAGAGCAGTAATATTCAGGAGCCCAGATTTATACAGTAGAAACGAAACACCGCGTGGGTGGGCCCAATCCACCGAATTTTAACCCGGAGCTGCCACGCAGGACCTTAAAGGCGCGGGGAGAACCTAGAAGCGTTACCAGCTTCCTATGGGGAAAGTCTCTGGGCATGAAAATTGCGCTCGGATCCTTCAGCAGGCGCCGCAGCGAAAGATGAGCGGGGGGGTCATTTGAGGGCATCGCGAGCTCTTTTGCTGGTGGCATAGGCGCGGGAAGCGAGAAAGACTACTGGGCATTTATAGGTTCGTGGAAATGATGACGGATCCCCCCCCCCTCTTCGCCCCACATCCACTCTCTTCGCGGATTTTTCAAAAAAAAAAAAAACTAGATAAAAAGGCCTGTAGAAATTACAGAAGTCCGTCTCCTGGCACTTGAATGGCATCGAATGCTTCTAAGTGGCTCAAACTGAGCTTTTAAAGGAGGTTAAGAGGTCGAAGGCCACTTACAAGAAAGAGAAGCGATCGGTGAAGTTAACGTGGACTTTTCAAAAAAAAGGCGCTTGCTCGGCAAACTTTTCCCTAACTTGGCCGCCTCTGATGTGTATTTGGCTCCAGTGAAAAATCAAAACGCCACCCCGGAGAAGTTGGCTGCACAGGCTGCTATATTATACAGTAGCTTAACGTCGGGGGGTTGGGGGTGGTTTAAGACCCACCTGTTGGATTTCACCTGTTTAGTCAGGGAAGAGCTTTATTAAGTTGTCCTACGAATCCAGTTCCTTGATCACGTCGAATTCCGGATTATTGTACAACCCAAAGGTTCTTTTTCCAAAAGGCAACTCGACTTCTTGTGAGATTTTTTTTTTCTTTGAAAACGTTTCGCTTCTCCTCCTTAGAAGCTTTGATACGTTTTCAAAGGGGGGAAAAAATAAAGAAACTACAGTTGCCTTTTGGGGGGGGAAAAAACCTTTGGGACAACCATGACCTGGGATGATTGGGAATTTCCACAGGAAACTGAGAAAAATGGATTAGTTAATTTAAGAACATGGTTTATTAAACTGGTTGTGTGAACACACCGTCACACGGATTACAATTACTTTAGCCCTAACGTGTTGTTTGGACCCAAAGCATAAAGTTAACTTCTGGTTCATCGTGTCCTCCAAACTCAAAAACATCCTTCAGCGAACTTGGTGAGGTCCCTACAATAGGCTCACCCCATGATTTAACACGAATAAACTACATTGGCTGGATATATAGACATCACATACGTTACGTTTTGGGTTGAGGTGCGGGGCGAACCCAAATCCTGAAATTCCCACTCACGTTCGTTTGTTTTTTAAAAAAATAAATAAATAAATCTGTGTTGCCTTTTTCTACTCCAAAGGGTACAATTTTGTTCTTCTTGTTTCTATTCCCGAAAAGAAAGTGTTACTAACGTCTCGGACTACTGTTCAACTTTCGATTTTCGTTGCGAAACGGATATTTCCTAATATTAGAAAGGAAGTGGGATTCTCCTTCTTTTTGGGGTGGGTGGGTGGGTGGAATTAATCGCTTTTATTCACCCACGGTATATTCTAAATAGCGCACCAACGAGCCATTTAGGGACCCTGCCTCTCTCGGGTGGCCTTTTCAGACGTGGTTATTATCTCTTGTTAAAGAGATGGCTTTAATCCCTTTCACTTTCTTAGAAAACCGAACTTAACCGAAGCGTCTAAAGCAGAGGTCTTCAAACGATGCTGGCTGGAGGATTCTGGGAGTTGGCAACTTGGCAACTTTAAGACTTGTGGACTTCAACTCCCAGAATCCTTCAGCCAGCATAGTTGATCAGAGGTCTTCAAACTATGCTGGCTGGAGAATTCTGGGAGTTGAAGTCCACAAGTCTTAAAGTTGCCAAGTTTGAAGACTTCTGGTCTAAAGACTTTCGTTTTGCGCTTCAAGCCTTTTGCAGGGAAGCACATGACTCTGTTTCTGGGACAGTCTCTGAACCCGCAGCTAATCCTTAAAAGGCTGAGTTCGCACAACCACTGGGCTAAGCCGATCCTGGCTAGTTTCCTTGGTTGAAGGTGAACGCGCCGAGAAAAGCGACTCGCCGGCTTAAAAGAAAAAAGTCCAAGGGTCTAAAAGCAGAGGTCTTGAAACTTGGCCGCTTTAAAGACTTGTGGACTTCAACTCCCAGAATCCTCCAGCCAGCACAGTTGACCAGAGGTCTTCAAACTATACTGGCTGGAGAATTCTGGGAGTTGAAGTCCACAAGTCTTTAAAGCGGCCAAGTTTGAAGACCTCTGGGTCTAAAGCAAGGCTGGCTGGCCGGCCGAGCGAGACGTGACCGGCCCCCGCATTCTCATTGGTGCGCGCGCGGAGAGAGAGAACAGAAAGATGATTGGACGGCTTGCTCTTAAAACTCCTCCTTCCAGGCTGGGCATCCTGAGTTGGGGCTCCGGACGGGGCTCCGGACGGGAGGCGGAGCGCTTTGGCTGGCCTTGCCCTGCCCTGAGCCGCCGCTGCGCAAACGCCGCGCGAAATGGAGGACTCGGAAGGCGAAGGGGAGGAGACTGAGGCCGAGTGGCTCTTGCCGGGACCCAGCAGCGGACTTCAGAGAGATCCTCCTGGGGCCGTGGAAGGAGTCTCGTGTAAAGTCCTAGGAAATCTTCCATCCACCGCCCTTCCGAGGGATCTAGGCAACCTCGGTCCTGCGGACTGGGAGTGGGGCAGGGCGTATGCTCCGAGAGAAAGCACGGGAGCTAAGATGGGGGTGGGGTTGTTGTTAGTTGCGAAGTTAGTATAACAGTAACAGAGTTGGAAGGGACCTTAGAGGTCATCTAGTCCAACCCCCTGCTCACGTAGGAGACCTGTACTAAGGATTCGAACCACCGGACTGCTGATCTTTCTGATTGACAAGCTCAGTGTCTTAGCCACTGAGCCACCTAGTCAGTTGTGTCCGACCCATCTCAACCCCATGGACAACTTTCTTCCAGGCCTTTCTGTCCTCTACCATCCCCTGGAGAACATTTAAGCTCACGCCTGCTGCTTCAGTGACTCCATCCAGCCACCTCGTTCTCTGTCGTCCTGTTCTTCTTTTGCCCTCAATCTTTCCCAGCATTAGGCTCTTCTCCAGTGAGTCCTTCCTTCTCATTAGGTGGCCAAAGTATTTGAGTTTCATCTTCAGGATCTGGACTTCTAAAGAGCAGTCAGGGTTGATCTCCTCTAGGACTGACCGATTTGATCGCCTTGCAGTCCAAGGGACTCGCAGGAGTCTTCTCCAGCACCAGAGTTCAAAGGCCTCAATTGTTTGGCGCTCAGCCTTTCTTATGGTCCAACTTTCACAGCCAGACATTGCAACTGGGAAAACCATAGCCTTGACTATAAGCACTTTTGTTTGTCTGCTTTTTAGTATGCTGTCTAGATTTGCCATAGCTTTCCTTCCCAGGAACAAGCGTCTTTTAATTTCTTGACTGCGGTGATCTTGGAGCCAGGAAAATAAAATCTGTCACTACCTCCATTTCTTCCCCCATCTATTTTCCAGGAACTGAGAAGGCCACATGCCACGATCTTAGTTTTCTTAATGTTGAGTTTCAAGCCAACTTTTGGGGTTAGGGGTACGATCAGAATAAGTACATATATATCACTATATATACAGTATATTATATATAGTGCTCATTCTTAAAGGCCGCGTTCACATGACATACTGGGGCCCTAATCTAGCCAGCTTTTCACCTAGTATTGTTATATGAATCCAGCCCAAGTAGTTTATGGGTTCCGTGTGAAGTGGAAAGTCAGAATAAATATATGAAGATAATCTTGTCTTTGTGCCTCCCAATTTTGTAGTTGATATCAGTAGTGCATTGGAGCTGATGGAAGATTTTCCTTTTGTAAAAAAAAAGGGGATTTTCAGGAGGCATCTTCAAAGTCAGAGTTAGGAAAAGGACATTGATAAAGAGTTCCCTGCTTGCCCAAATGGGAAACAAACCAGGATGCTTTGCAAAAAAAGGGTTTAGTTTTGGCCTGGATAGGGAGACTAACTTTACTGGAATTTACTTCCTGGAACCTTTACTTCCTGGAATTTTGCCCTCTCCTTCTGGGAAAGAGCAGGAGAGATCCTAAGTGTTGTTTTTACTAACGTGTGATTGACATTTAATCAGTTTTCGGTGTCCATTCAACACTTCGAAGCAGACACTAGTGGCTGTGGCTATGTTTACACAGTAACCTTGGCCAAAATGTGGTTGCCTTCGTTGTAATTCCTTGTGCTGTGGAAATTCAGAGATTGAAATTATTCTACAGGCTGCAGCCTGCACCTCTATGGAAAGGAGTAATATTTCCCTCCAGATGCAAAAAGTGTTTGCATCTGTTTGTATTCACAGGGCTTGTTGAACCAGACTGGTTTGCTCAAGAAACCCAGTTGCTGGGATCAGTTCGCATTGAACAATATTTTACAACTGGGCCACGGACCAGCCAACTCTATTTGCAAGCTTGTATATGAGATAGGAAAACCCTTAGGATGGTTGATGCGGATAGAAAGAAAATGATGTATGAACTGTGGAGTGATATTTTAAATGGAAAACTCTTTATCAATAGACATTAAAGCAATGTTTGGATTTTATTTAACCAATAATGCATTACTGTTAGAAAACAACAGGTGGTTAAAGCAGTCCAAAATTCAGCATCCTGGTTTGAAAGGCCCAAAACAGAAGTAATGGTGGCTATGCTGAGTGATGCATTAAGGAGGCTGGAAACCACAGAAGTAATATGAAACAGATTTTTTTTTTTCTAAATGTCAAATTTGTTTGCAGGTTATCGTGGCCAAGTTGTGCCAAAAGGAAATGCTTGGAAACGAATCATTGTGCATCTGGACTTGGACTGTTTTTATGCCCAGGTAGAAATGATCTGCGATCCTGAATTAAGAAGCAAACCTTTAGGTAATTTGAGAATTTTGGTGGGTACTGCTATCCCATGGAATATGTTAAAGGGTCTCTATGCCTGAACTCCTTCTAAGGAAACAAGCAATATATACCGTATTTTTCGGCCTATAAGACACACTCTCCCCCCCCCCCAAAAAAAAACCAGTGGGTAGAAATGTCTGTGCATCTTATAGTCTAAATACGGGGCCATTTTTGGCCTCCCAAATCCTCTACGCGTCCTGTTTTCGTCCTCTCCGGCCCCCAGAAGCACTCTGCCAAAACTACATGGAGGATTTGGGAGGCCAAAAACAGGCCCAGTTTTGGCTGCAAAGTGCTTCTGGAGGACAAAACTGGGACGCCTGAAGCAGGGTGGATTTGATTTAAATCGAATTGATTTAAATCACAATTTATATCATGATTTAAATCACTAGTAAAAAGGCTTGATTTAAATCATCTCGATTTAAATCATAATTTTTAAAGAGCAACTGTCATCTCTGCTACTCCTTTGACCCACTGTTGACTCACCGATAGTCCCAGTGTTGCAGAATATACATAACTAAGCTCCATTTCATGCTGAATAAACTAAATTATTTATGTATCTTAAATAGAAAACTATCTTACAATAGATTTTTACCCCAAAAGTTTTTTATTAAAATAAATTCAATAAAAATCAAAAAAATCCGATTTAAATCAAAAAAATCCGATTTAAATAAAAAAAATCTGATTTTTTTAAAAAAAAATTAAAAAAATCATTGATTTTTATCCACCCTGGCCTGAAGGGTTCAGGAGGCCAAAACGGGCCTGTTTTTGGCCTGCAAAGTGCTTCTGGGGGCCGGGGAGGGCGAAAATCAACACAACCAGATGCTTCAAACCAATTCGAAAGGGGGGGGGGGAGGCCATTTTCAGTCTGATTCAGAAAAGGGGTTCAGTTCTGAAATTCAATCAAAATGAAACTCTGTGTGTTTTCAATTTCAATCATCTTATGGACAGCTATCAGAGCCGGATTGCCCACTTCAGTGTGGGATTGCTTCTGAACAGGGAAAATAGTCTGTTTCAGGCTTGAAATGATACAAATGTTTTCTATCCCCACTATTTGAGAGCCAGGTTGAGTGGCATGGTGGCCTAATTGTGAAAACACCCACCTCCCACTCGGAAGGTTGAGAGCTCAATCCTAGGTAGTGGCAGATGTTTCCCTCCCAGGGTATAAAGAGAAAATATCTGCTGCGAACTCCCATGTAGACATCAGGAAGGGCATCCGGCCAGTAAATACTCAGCTCCATCCAGTCCCCTGGTCTCTACCCCAAATCAATTTCAGGGTCATAAAAAGGGAATTTTTTAGAAGGTTGGTATAGCAGTTAAGGCATTGGAGTAGGAGGGCAACTCTACTTTAGCTCAGGAAATCACACCTTCTCAGCTCTAGTAAGATTATGACAAACCACTTGTGAAAACGTTGCAAGAAAATTTAACGAGCTTGTTGGGAATGAAGACTGACTCAAAGGCAAATAGATACACTCCAATAGACCTATTAGCAGCAGTCCGTTTACACAAGCTAAGTAGTGTAACATTATGAGGTTTCTTTTATTTAGAAGTGCTTAGATAGAAGGCTAAATGTACGGACTGCCTGCAAGGTACAATAGTTGTTCAGAAATTTTTTATACCCTAAATACCTGCAGTTATTCTCACTGCATAAACAGTCAGTGATCTCCTAGAACACGGGTGTCAAACTCAAGGTGTGCAGGCCAGTTCCAGCCTGCAGGTGCTTAGATCTGGCCCTAACCTTAACCCTAACCCTAACCCTGGAAATAGGGAAGGACCAGCCCACAGTGTCTTTGCCAGTGAAAAAGGAGCTCCCTTCCCGGTTACATTTTTGCTGGCAGAGGGCTGCACAAGGATCCCCCCCCACCAAGCCTTGCCAGGCCACCACAGGTGCCCCCAACATGAGGGATGTTGAACTGGCCATGCCCACCCTGGCCACACCCACCCCCAAGGTCAAACACAACCCTGATGCGGCCCTCAATGAAATCGAGTTTGACGTCCCTGTCCTAGAATTTCTTAACTGTACTAATCAGCATTTGGCCAAGGCAAAGTCTTTGTTTATGTATTCGTTCGTCCTTTGACACAGAAATGGGAAACAGAATAACAGAGTTGGAAGGGACCTTGGAGGTCTTCTAGTCCAACCCTCTGCCTAGGCAGGAAACCCTACACCACTTCAGACAAATGGTTATCCAACATCTTCTTAAAAACTTCCAGTGTTGGAGCATTCACAACTTCTGGAGGCAAGTTGTTCCACTGATTAATTATTCTAATTGTCAGGAAATTTCTCCTTAGTTCTAGGTTGCTTCTCTCCTTGATTAGTTTCCACCTATTGCTTCTTGTCCTGCCCTCAGGTGCTTTGGAGAATAGCTTGACTCCCTTTTCTTTGTGGCAGCCTCTTGAGATATTGGAACTGGAATTGGAATATTGGAAAATTGGACTCTCAATGGTATATGTGACAGGATCTAATATGAGAGATAAGAAGTTGGCTAGGCAGCCCTGAATGTATCCAGAAATCCGCTCCATTGAAAAGATAGAATTGTAGCCGAGAGTAAATTTACACAAAGTTGCATTGCAAAGCTTTGGAAATAAGAGCTCCATTGTAAAAACTGTTGAAAGGTATTTGGCACGAAGCCACCTATTATTCTTAACTGCTGTGTTTGTTCCCAGGTGTGCAGCAGAAATATCTGGTAGTCACCTGCAATTATGAAGCCAGGAATCTTGGTGTGAAAAAACTCATGGGGGTGAAAGAAGCGAAAGAAAAATGTCCGGATCTGGTGCTAGTTAATGGAGAGGATCTGACTAAATACAGGGAATTCTCTTACAGGGTTACAGGTACTGCTTTGATCTGATCCTTTTAACACTGGAAAAATGTTTCCTTGGGTTTAGAATAGAATAGAATTCTTTATTGGCCAAGTGTGATTGGACACACAAGGAATTTGTCTTGATGCATTTGGCTGCAATATGGCCTCTCTTCCTAGAGACTATAAGTAGTCCTTGACTTACAACCACAATTGGGACCAGAAACCCAGTCGCTAAGTGATGTGGTTCTTAAGTGAGTCATCACCCAACCATGCGTGATTTTATAAACTTTAGTGGCATGGTTATTAAAGCGAATCCTACTTGGAAATCGCTTCTAGACTTTGTGCTTGAGGTGGATGGGAAAAAAAGGAAACTTTGATTTTGGGTTTTACCAATTAGATAGATTTGTTGTTATAGAAATGGCTACTTTAAACTATTGTATAAAAGTAAAAAGTTGAGATTTGATGTTAATGCCTTATTCTACTGCACCAAAGGGAGTCGGAAGTCAATGCCTTTTCTTTCTTTCTTTGCCCCCTTTCTTTTCCATACTTTCCCCCTCCCTATTTTTCCTACTATTTGCTTTTGTATTTTTTGTATGTTTTAACATAAACTAATAAAAATTGTTAAATTAATCAAATCAGCCTTTGCCTACTAACTTTGCTTGTCAGAAGCCAGCTGGGAAAGGCACATATGATAATCACTGGACTCCAGGATACTGCAACTATTGTAAATACACACCAGTTGCCAAACACCCAACTTGCAATCACATGACCTCGGGGATGCTGCAGTGGTCATAAGTGTGAGGATTGGTCATAAATCAGGATTTTTAGTGCCATTGTAACTTCAAACGATCACTAATGGTTGTAAGCCAAGGACTACCTGTCTTCCTACATCCTTCCTTATTTTAATCCTACCTAATGCTAATTTATAAAGCATGATTTATAAGCTACAATGGCTAGGACAGTAGACATCCCATATTAAATCCAAACCAAAAAAAACCCCATGCTGTGGTTTAACATATTTGAATCTAGCCATTAAGGATGTAAACGTGAATTATCACTTAACAAATCATGCCAATCCAGCCAAGTTTAGTTTATTCATATCATGGTTTGGCAAACACATGTGAATCCAGTCCACGGTAACCAAATCTTGTGCCTTCAAACATTTGTGTCAAATTTCTAGCAAGTTGGATGTCGCCATTCATGAGAGGTTTATCAAGAAAGAAGTGGGTATGGAAAGACTGAAGGAATTCCTCTTTCCGCTCCCACTTTATCAATTGATATTGATACTGTTTCCTAGTATGATTTGATTGTTTATTTGTACCCTATGACTATCATTAAGTGTTGTACCTTATGATTCTTGATGAATGTATCTTTTATGTACACTGAGAGTGTATGCACCAAAGACAAATTCCTGTGTGTCCAATCACATTTGGTCAATAAAGAAGTCTAGTCTAGTCTAGTCTAGTCTAGGCTATTGTTACACTTTGTGTAATCAAGCCAGGAGACCGTAGTTGAGGATTTTCCTAAAGGAATTTACTGTGTAGGAATGATGTCATAGAAGTGTGTTCTGAAGTATTGTCTCTTAGGTTCAACTCGGTTTCTCAACAAGGGGTCAATCTGTTCAGAGCATAGGTGGCTAAATTTGTAGGCATATTTCCTACCTTGTTTGTATTGATTTCAACAGTGCTTGTTCCTTTTAAACCAGGGGTGTCAAACACAAGGCCCGTGGGCCGGATCCACCCCGTGATGTGGTCGGATCTGGCCCACAGAGCCATCCTGGAAAATGTAAGGGGCCGGCCTGCGTTGGTTCAGCCCAATCTACCCAATGCAAAGAGGAAACATGCCAGCAGTTTGGGGAGTGGCATCAAGCTGGCCACGCCCACCCAATCGGCCATGCCCAGTGAGTGGCATCAAGATGACCACCCCCACCCAGTTGACCACCTCCCCCACCCCACCCCCAACATCAACCAGAGCCCTGATACAGCCCTCAATGAAATGGAGTTTAACACCCGTTTTATATCCAAGATGGAAGCCCCAAATGAAATTTGCTTAAATCAGAAATCAGCTTCCATTTTGGGATTCTAACTAAAGTGATTTTTGTCAGGGAAAGGCCCGGGAGATGTAAACTGAGGAAAGAGGCATTGGGCCATCTCACAGTGGCCTTTATTTGGGGCCAAAATCTCTCTCAAGCATCTCAACAATTTTGAACGTTCATTGTGTATCTATATGTATAGAGGGAGGGAGAGCATGAGACAAAGATGAAAATCGTCTCTCCACCTTCCCAAAGTAAAAAAATGAAATTGAGGATGACTCAACAAGAGGTTAAACATTACAGAATTGTAAAACATGGTAAATCTGTACAGTCAGAGAGAAAATGGATTTCATTGGGCTTATCAAATGTTTGCTGAAATGCATCTTTAAAATAAAATAAAGCTGAAGGAAGAGATTTCTAAAGCAAATCTCTGTAGGTGAAAAGTTCTGTATTCACCATCAGACAGGAAATTGACTAAAATTAAAAAGGCTAGTAGACACTCTCAACCAAGTTACACAACTGGTTATGTTTAACTTATCCATAATTTGATCAACTCAGTTTTTTGGATTTGCACCACACAGGTAGTCTTCTACTTATGACGTCAAAGTTTCTGTTGCTAAGTGAGACATTTGTTAAGTGCATTTTGCCCCATTGTAGGACCTCTCTTGCCACAGTTGTTAAGTGAATCTGGCTTCCCCATTGATTTTGCTTGTCAGAAAGTTGCAAAAGGCGATCACATGACCCCAGGACACCTCAACTGCCATAAATCCGAGTCAGTTGCCAAGTGTCTGAATTTTGATCATGTGACCATGGGGATGCTGCAATGGTCATAAGTGTGAAAAACAGTCACAAGTCACTTTTTTTCAGTGCCATTGTAATTTTTGAATGGTCACTAAACAAATTGTAAGTCAAGGACTATCTGTACACTGAAATATAAACTAACCATTCAAATTTTATAAAACCATGCTGGATTAAAATGTGTCTCTCTAGTTTGTGGGCCATGTTTTTTGGTGTGTATGTGATTAAGGATAGATCTATCTACAGGTATGTGGCTACTAAGAGTTGACAACAACCTGATGGCACGTAATCAATATTTTGTAAACCAAGTCATTGTGTTATGCCATAAACTAAGTTTTTTGACTCACAAGAGCTAGATTCACACCTCAGGCTAACCTAGAAGCCTGTCTGTCAAGTTTCGATGTCGTCTCAATTAAAATTGCATTTCCAAACAAATAGTCTTTGATGAAATCTTTCATTTATTAAGCACGACAATCTGTCCCCAATTATGTCGAAGCCAACACTGACTTCCTGACCCAAACTTTCCCTTTCCTTTCCCCAATTCTCTGCGTCTCATTGGCCACCTTCCAAATCACTCTCCCCATATCTACTACTTCAGCTCCCAGGAATGTCCCCCCTCCCAACCCATCTCCCAGGGGATATTATCTTCAGAGAAAATAAGTAGGTGAAAAGTCAAGCGTCCTCTTGCCAGCTGCCCCCTCTTCTCCTTATGTCAGCACTGGAACGAATGTAGTTTGAAGAGCTGACACAGTCACTGATTTAAAAATATACATAGTGTCTTTTTAGGTAGAGATGTTCTATGCATAGTATACATTAATAAAGTTATGAGCTATGACAGGGGTGTCAAACTCAAATTTCATTGAGGGCCGCATGAGGGCTGCGGTTGATCTTGGGAGACAGGGCAGGCATGGCCGACAGTGGGTGTGACCAACAGGGTGGGCACGGCCACCTTGACATCACTCACTGGGCATGGCCGACTAGGTGGGCATGGCCGACTAGATGGGCATGACCAGCTTGACACCACTCCACAAACTGCTGACATGTTTCCTCTTCGCATTGGGTAGACCGGGCCGAAGCCACACTGGCCCAATGTTTCCTCTTCGCATTGGGTAGATGGGGCCGGCCCCTTACATTTTCCAGGACAGCCCCACAGGCCAGATTCAACCACATCACGGGGTGGATGCGGCCCGCAGGCCTTATGTTTGACACCCCTGAGCTCTTTTGAATGGGGGCAAGATTTTCGTTCAGATCTCCTGAAATTGTCCCAGAACAAGACTGTAGTCTTCAGAAAGCATCTCTTAGTTATGCTCCAGGATGTCCCTATGAAGTTGGTCGATATCTCATATGATTAGATCTATAGAGTTTGACCTCCCAGGCACTAGGGATTCATCGGATTGTATCTTTATGGGTGAACCATGTTAACACTCATTAACCACTGTTAAACCTAATGCAATCACATTTAAATGAAAAAATTGCTGAACATCAGATCTGAGCAATCATCTCTGCATATCTTTTTCTGTAGATCTGCGCAAGGAAGACCTTGTGCATTGATTTGCCTCAATGGGATGCTAGGAGGGTTCCAGTTCTTAAAAGGTCAGCATCTCATGCAGTGTTTCCAATAGATGCCTCTAGCTCAGGGGTCTCCAACCTTAACAACTTTAAGCCTGGCGGACTTCAACTCCCAGAATCCTGGGAGTTGAAGTCCGCCAGGCTTAAAGTTGCCAAGGTTGGAGACCCCTGCTCTAGCAAGCATCTAAGCATCTTTTGGCTCCTGAATATTGGACAAGCCCTGAATTCAAACAAACCAATATAAAACATTTCCATTTTTTAAAAAAAAGTAGATGGGAAGAGTTAGTTTGCAAAATTCCATTCAAGACTGGCTTCCCACAAGCTTATTGTAGCACTAATGCTACAACCCCTCCAAAGTTTTGCATGGCCCACCTTTTAATGTCTAGAAGAGTGTGGTATTAAACCATACTAAGATGATCCTGTAGTCTGTACCAGAGGTGAAATCCAGCAGGTTCTGACAGGTTCTGGAGAACCGGTAGTGGAAATTTTGAGCAGTTCGGAGAACCGGTAGCAGAAATTTTGAGTAGTTTGGAGAACCGGCAAATACCACCTCTGGCTGGCCACCAGAGTGGGGTGGGAATGGAGATTTTGCAATATCCTTCCCCCAGGAGTGGGGAGGGAATGGAGATTTTGCAGTATCCATCCCCTGCCATGCCCACCAAGCCATGCCCACCAAGCAACCCCCCGCCCACCAAGCCACACCCACAGAAACGGTAGTAAAAAAATGTGGATTTTACCACTCGTCTGTATGTAATACTGTACATTGAGTTAATAGTGTCTCCTATATGTGTGTATGGATCAATATATTAAAAGACCTGCATAGTATCATATAATACTTTGTACAATGCTAAACTAGAATACAGTTTCCTTGGATGAGAGTTGGGCATTTGTGTGAACTCATGTACTTCAGTTTGTAACCAGTAGCCTGTGTTGTGTGAACGTAGTCAGTTGTGGCCCTTAATAACCTTTATGGTGGGTTTTGTATATATTGTGGTGGTTTTTATGTATTTTATTTATTTATTGCATCATTTTTTATATATATATACAGTGTTTCCCTGAAAATAAGACCGTCTTATTATTTTTTTTAAAAAAAAGTTTTTAAACATAAAACATAAAATACATCTTTTTAGAGCAAGGATTTGACCCGGTATAGAGTAAATACAATTACTCACATTCCCTCAACCAATTTTGTTCCAAATTTTATCCATTTATATCTTAAAAAAAGAAAAGAAAAAAATCTTATTCTAAACATTTATCATTCTACTATGTCGCCCTAAATTCTAAACAATTATTTCCAAATAGACATCGTTCCAAATCTTTGTCATTTGTCATGGATTCAATGTAATGGGTCTTAGAAATGAGGAATATATAAGAAATGTTGACCCTGTCTTATATTTTTTTGAACCCTGAAATAAGCACTTGGCTTTATTTTCGGGGAGGTCTTATTATTTTGGGGCGCATGGAGCAAGACGGGGCTCCTCTGGCTGTTTTACCAGATTTCCAGCTCTGTCTCCCTAACCCTAACCAGAGGAAATGGTGAGGACTGGCTGCACGTGCGTTTAATTATTTTCAGGGAGAATTTATTTTGGGGGGGGGGCTTATTTTAGCGCAGGCGCTCAAAAGCACAATTGGGCTTATTATCAGGGGATGTCTTATTTTTGGGGAAACAGGGTAATTGGAAGAATAATATGGACATTTTCTATATTTAAAAGATTAACTCTTTTAAGCCAGTACTGCATATTAACAATTACGTATATTCTTCTTTTAACATTTACAGAATTGTTAAAAACATTTACTCCACTGGTAGAGAGGCTCGGATTTGATGAGAATTTTGTGGATATCACTGAATTGGTCGAAAAAAGACTGATAGAGTGGGAAAAAACAACACTTCCTAAAATCTCTGTTTCTGGTCATGTATATAATAATCAGAGTAAGTATTTATTTTATTTTTTAACCACAATATCATACTTGCACAGGAGATCCCATAATAACGCTATGTTGATAGCACAAAGGACATTTGCAACATAGAATGACATTCAAGCTCGACATATAAATACAGGTAGTCCTCGACTTACAACAGTTCATTTAGTGACCGTTCAAAGTTACAACGGCACTGAAAAAAAGCAACTTCTGATCTGTTTTCACAGTTACGACCAGGGGTGGCATTCACTTATCTTCGCTACTGGTTTGCAAATGTGAACGTGTGCGTGCTCGCTTCGCTAGTATGCGCCATCTCCACGCATACTCAGGACCTTCCGCGCATGCGCAGAGAGTCAAAAACGGGACGTGATTACATCCGGGCGGGTGGGCGGAGCCTCCCGCCACGGCTGCTACCAGTTCACCCAAACCGGATAGAACCGGTTGAATACCATCACTGGTTGAGACGTTTGTAGCATCCCCATGATCAGATGATCAAAATTCAGATGCTTGGCAGCCGGTTCATATTTGTGTCCCAAAGGTCATGTGATCCCCTTTTGCGACCTTCGGACACGCAAAGTCAATGAGGAAGTCAGAGGATAATTAGAACTGCAGAAAAAACAAAGGAAACAGAAAAAAATGCACTTTGTAGAAATGAAATTGTGTACACTTATTTATATGTATATATGTAAATGAATCAATATTAGACTTGTGTGTATAAAGGATACATTGAAATAAGGGAGAAAAAATGGATAAGTAAGAAATGTTTAACCGTTGCGAAACTATTGGAAAGAAACTATTGTTTAAAGAGTCTTTTTTGTTTTTTGAAAAAATGTTTAATAAAAATTATTCAAAAAAAAAGAACTGCAGAAAAAACGACCTGCCTTCCATTGAAGGCCTGTATACTGCACAAGTCAAAAAGAGGGCTGTGAAAATATCTACAGACCCCTCGCATCCTGGACATAAATTGTTTAAACTCCTACCCTCAAAACGACGCTATAGGGAACTGCACACCAGAACAAGTAGACACAAGGACAGTTTTTTCCCGAACGCCATCACTCTACTAAACAAATAATTCCCTCAACACTGTCAAACTATTTACTAAGTCTCCACTACTATTAATCTTCTCATTGTTCCCACCACCCATCTCCTTCCACTTCTGACTGTATGATTGTAACCTTGATGCTGGTATCCTTAAGATTTATATTGACTGTTTCCCTATCACTATCATTAAGTGTTGTACCTTATGATTCTTGACGAATGTATCTTTTCTTTTATGTACTCCAAGAGTGTATGCACCAAGACAAATTCCTTGTGTGTCCAATCACACTTGGCCAATAAGGAATATTCTATTCTATTCTATTCTATTCTGTTCTATTCTATTCTATTCTATTCTATTCTATTCCATTCCATTCCATTCCATTCCATTCCATTCCATTCCATTCCATTCTAACTGGGGCTTACAGCTACAGCTACAGTGAAAGCTACAGCTTCTTGATTTCCCACTCAGCAAAGACCAGGGACGTGGAAATCAGACTTCTGGGAATTGATGGCCCCATTTCTAATTCATATTGTGTTTCAATAGCCAATGATCAGTGCTTTGAAGCATGTCACTTGTATTGTCCATTTCCCACAGTTGGTATCCTGGCAGAGTGAAAGGTTTTTCTTTTAACATGCAGTTAAAAGAAGGGCTCCATAAGAAGGATGAATCTGAGGGGTCCTTGGTGCTCTCTGAGTTTGCTTGTTTTCTTGCAGATGTTTCATTACCTAACTAGGTAACATCATCAGTGCTAGTAAAGGAGTGCTGCTTGCTGTCAGTTTTCATTCTGGTGATTTGTCTGTTTGTGTGTGGGGGGGGGGAGGTGTCTGCAAGAAAACAAGCAAGCTCAGAGAGCACCAAGGACCCCTCATTTCAACCCTAAACTACAAAAATTCTCCTTTATTGGTGATGTGGCCCAGCAGAGCTACGGTAGCAGCAGAGCCAGACGAGGAGGAGATTGAGGGAGGGACTGGGCCAGCTTCGGAGCTTTTGGAAGGCTCTGAGGGCCTGAGGTGAGAGGGGGAGGAACAGATGGGGCCCAATCCAGATGCGCGTATGCGTAGGGAGGAAAGGAGAGGAGAGCAAAGGAAAACAATAAGCCGGCTCTCAGGGAAAGGCAGACGTAGACGCTAGCTAACCCCTCCCTGGCTGGGAAATAAATAGGAGGGGATTGGGAGAGGCCGGTTGTCACAGACAACCGTTTGTTTCTAGTATACAGCAAGCAATTGGCTAAACCCAAGTTTGTTGGGACAAATTATGTTTGATTTTTTTTTGTTTATCCATGTGAATAAAATATTGTCACTGCCCTGTTATAAAAAGGGGGTTGTTTTACTCGCGAGTAAATGGCTTATCGTTACTGGGTCAAAACGATTAGCAAGGATAAATCTGCCAGGCGATCTCTTTTAAGTTTTTTCTCCCCTCTTTCCTACCCAGCTGTTGATTTCCATGACCCGATGCATGTAAGACTGGCTGTGGGATCTCAGATTGCAGGGGAGATGAGAGATGCCATGTGCAGCAAGCTAGGGCTCACAGGCTGCGCAGGAGTGGCCACCAATAAAGTCCTCTCCAAGCTGGTCTCTGGGACCTTTAAACCAAATCAGCAGACGGTTCTTTTGCCTGAAAACCGGCAGAATCTGATGGCCAGCCTCGATCACATCAGGAAAATACCAGGTGAGCTGACCTTGAGTTTTGAAGATAAGATTGGACTTGACTTGAGAAATATTGTAGCTTTTTCAATATAGGCTTATTTACATTTGATATATTACTATCTTCTAGATCAGGGGTATCAAACTCAAAGCCCGGGGGCCAGATCCGGCCGACGGGGTATTTAGATCTGGCCCACAGGGCTGCCTTGGAAATAGCGAAGGATCAGCCTCTGATTACATGCCTCTGCCGGAGAAAACGGAGCTCTGTTTTCGCTGGCAGAGGGTTGCAGGAGACTGTTGCTGTCACTGCGTTATGTGTTTGTCAGCCGAGCGTCCATTCTGAGCGTTACGGTAGCCTGCCAGAGAACTTTTATCCCGTATCTATAGCAACAGAGATAAGACCAGTTTTGTGAAATTTTGAGCTACTGCGCATGTCTACATTCTTTCTTTCCTAACTTCCTGATCTATACTTTTTTTGTTCGTCTGTGAGATCAGCTGCCGGTAAAAAGTAGTTAGGTAGTTTTTCTATTTTTATAATAAAATCCTTATTAGAATATATTTCGGGTTTTCTTTCTTTAAAGTATACAGCATGGAAAACAAGATCCATCCTCCTCTAATTAAGTGCAATTACCCCAGGGGGGGTACGGGGCTGATTTACGCTCCGACAGTTGCATCCGAAAATGGAGCTCAGCGGCTCATTATCACTGGCAGAGAGCTCGGGCCACCACAGGCAACCCCGACACGAGTGACGTCGAGCTGGCCACGCCCCCTCCCCCACTTCCGAAGTCAAACACAACACTGATGCGGCCCTCAGTGAAATTGAGTTTGACACCCCTGTTCTAGATGAAATTAAAATAAGAACATTTAATGAATACTGGGCTTTAATATGTGCATTTTAAGATATTTTATGGATTGGTATGCTTTCTTTCAATTTAGAGAGGTGATTGTATTGTTAATTTCTCTGTGCTAAAAGAAAGTTGGAGGTCACTTTTATTATACTTGTTTGATATATTTTGTTAACTTGTTTTGTCACTCCCTTTCCCCTTCTTGTTCGTTTGTATTTTAATGTATGATGTCTTAAGTCCCACTTCAGGCATGAAAGCCATTGAGCCATGGTAGCGCAGTGGTTAGAAGGCAGTATTGCAGGCTAATTCTGCCGACTGCCAGCAGTTGGATTCTCACCAGGCTCAAGGTTGACTCATCCTTCCATCCTTCCGAGGTTGGTAAAATGAGAATCCAGATTGTTGGGGGCAGTATTTTGTAAACTGCTTAGAGATGGGCCGTAAAGCACTATGAAGCGGTATATAAGTACAAGTGCGATTGCTATTAAAACCTAATAAAGATATTATAAGAAAAAAAAAACAATACCAAGTAAGATGGGGGAACAAACAAACTTGCTTTGGCTTTGATACATGCATATCACGGGTGGGTTCTACTTACCTTTACTACTGGTTCGCAATGGGGCTGCGCTCTTCTGCACATGCGCAGAAGCGTTTTCATGACATCAGGGTCAGTGGGCGGGGCCTCCCGCCGGTTTTACTATCGGTTCTATAGAACCAGTGCGAACCAGGGGCAACCCACCACTGATGCATATAGGTGAAAAAAAAGAGCAGGAGCCTTGCGGCTCGATATGAACTTCATTTGAGCCCCTGTGAGGGTGATTTGTCTGATAAGCTGCTGTAGTAAACTCTCTTTCTTGTGCAGGGATTGGCTTTCAAACAGCAAAGCGCCTCCTGAGTCTTGGGCTCTGCACTGTGCAAGATCTCCAAGACTGTTCCACTGAGATTCTGGGAAAAGAACTGGGAATTCCAGCTGCGCATCTCATCCAGAAGCTCAGTTGTGGGGAAGACCATTCTCCGGTCGTTCCATCAGGAGCTCCTCAGGTAGAACTGAAAGCAGTATCTAAAGATAAGAATGGCCCTATCCTTTATGTCTGAGAATTCTAGGCAAACCGGGGGTTTCCAGATGTGAAGACTACAGCTTCTTGATTTCTCACTCAGCAAAGACCTGGGTTGTATGTAATGTAGGGTAGGGTAGGGTAGGGTAGGGTAGGGTAGGGTAGGGTAGAGTAGAATAGAATAGAATAGAATAGAATAGAATAGAATAGAATAGAATAGAATAGAATAGAATAGAATAGAATAGAATAGAATAGAAGAGTTGGAAGGGACCTTAGAGGTCTTCTAGTCTAGTCTTAGGCAGAAAACCCTACATCACTTCAGACAAATGGTTATCCAATATCTTCTTAAAAACTTCCAGTGTTGGAGCATTCACAACTTCTGGAGGCAAGTTGTTCCACTGATTCATTGTTTTAACTGTCAGGAAATTTCTCCTTAGTTCTAAGTTGCTTCTCTCCTTGATTAGTTTCCACCCATTGCTTCTTATCCTTCCCTCAGGTGCTTTGGAAAATAGTTTGACTCCTTCTTCTTTGTGGCAGCCCCTGAGATATTGGATATCATGTCTCCTCTAGTCCTCCTTTTCATTAAACTAGACATACCCAGTTCCTGCAACCGTTCTTCATATGTTTTAGCCTCCAGTCCCCTAATCATCTTTGTTGCTCTTCTTTGCACTTTGCACACATATATCAGACTTCACAGAATTGGTGGTTCCAATCCACCTAGAGAACTATCTTGAGAAATTTTTGTCCCATATAACTGAATGAACAGTTGCATTTTTCAGGAAGAGATCCTACAGGCCCACATATTGGACTAAACAGTTGCGGTTTGTTTAGTTTGGGTTTAGTGGTTGCGTGAACAAAGCTGCTGTGGGTTTATAAGCCAAAGTTTATTACAGGGGTGTCAAACTCGATTTCATTGAGGGCCACATCAGGGTTGTGCTTGACCTCGGGGGGGGGGGGGGGGGCAGGGTGGACATGGCCAGGGTAGGCATGGCCAGCTCGATGTCACTCCGAATTTACAAATACATGAATGCCTGTTCTTTATGTGGTTTGTGCATTTACTGATCTAAATTATTATATTCATTGTTTTATTTTTAAACACTATACTGCAGTCTCTCAGTGATGAAGACTCCTTTAAAAAGTGTTCTTCTGAAGCAGACGTTAAGAAGAAAATTGAAGAATTGCTCACTAATCTTCTGGAGAGGTAATTTTAACTTAAATAGTTCCACAATATTTGGGGTCTGAGCAAGATTTTGAAACGGGGGGCTGCATTGTGTAATGTGTGAATATATAAAACGGGTGGAACAGTGACACAATCAGATCACAAGTAAATATTCAGCCCCTTTTTTAGTTATTTGCATATTAAACACTTCAGATTTACACACTTTTCTCACCAGTGGTTCCTTCTGGTGGGGTAGTAATCCTTGACCTCAGTTGGCCTGGCAGGAACATGAGAAAGGATCACCTGAAATTCCTCAAAACAATGTAAACTTCTGTTCTTGGGGTGGGGGTTGTCTCCATATTTCTTGAGCTACGGCACAGACCACGATGGCAGGGAATTATACCCGGCATTTACCAGTTCAAGGAAGCCAGAATTAAGCAATAGTAATAGCACTTAGACTTATATACCACTTCACAGTGCTTTACAGCACTCTCTAAGCGGTTTACAGAGTCAGCATATTTCCCCCACCAGACCAGACCAGCACCATTTCCCCCACCCCACCAGCTGGTCAGCTGGTTCAGACCAGTTTGGGCAAACCGGCAGCACCGACAATCAGTTGGCCCCGCCCACCCGCCCCCGCTCTATCCTGTCCTTTATTTCCTGCTTTGTAGTTCATCTCAATCACGCAGCACAGCTGAATCCCCCCCCCCCATTGTTCTACTTACCATTGCTGACTTGGAAGGTAAGCAGCTGAGCTTCTAAATGCTCCATTTTCAGTGCTGTGCGCAAACGCCTTAGGCGCACGCTCAACAAACCAGTTGTTAAACAGGCAGCATTCCACCGCTGTCCCCCACCAATCTGGGTTCTCATTTTACCAAACTTGGAAAGGATGGAAGGCTGAGTCAACCTTAAGCTGGTCAGGATCGAAGGAATCAAACTCCTGGCAATGTGAACAGAGTTAGCCTGTAATACTGCATTCTAACCACTGTGTCACCGTGGCTCATTCACCGCTCCACCATCTAATGATCTTTCCTACTGCTCCCTTTCTACAGATTGCTCATTTAGGAGGTTATGCTTGGTGAATTGCCAATTTGCATTAATGCTTGACATAGATTACCTTTTTAGATGGGGAGGGAATACTTCTCCGTTTCTTGAGCCAGGCCAGGCTGAAATGTAGAAACAGTGGACACGTTGGTTGTTGATGGCTCCATGTTTTCAACAGGTTGTACAAAGATGGCAGAAAGCCCCATACCATCAGATTAACCATCCGTCAGTATTCTGCTACCAATAAATGGTTTAATCGAGAGAGCCGTCAATGTCCAGTTCCATCTCACTTGGTCAAGAGGATCGGTTCAGGTAATTGTGTCTCATGGGCCTTAATTTCCTCCTTTGATGATGTCCAAGAGAGTTCATGAATACATTGCTTCCCCCACACACACACTGTCGCTCATTCACATAACATGCAGCCCTAGACTAAGTTTATCAACTTTTCTAACTGCCCCCCTTCAAATTTCTTAGGATTGCAACTCCCGATTGTCTTGGAATTCTGGGAATTGTAGCTCCATCATATCTAGTGGGTTGTAGATTTCCCATTGAACAAGTCTCCATTTGAAGCAGATCTCCAGGTTACTCATTCGTGCATCACCCCAGATCTTCAGCTGGTGCTCCAAGGAAGAGTGAGATACTACTTTGGGAAGTCCATTCCCTTATTTTATGAAGCCTTGTCCCAAATCCTCATTGTTGTCCTAGCCTCTGTCGATCAGCTTTTTTCTTCTCAAGTTCACTGTCTCTTTGTCCATGGACATCCTTCAACGTCTTCTTCCCCATCTTTTCAATTCCAGCCGACCTGAACACTTTCCTTCACGGAAACTAGATCAGCCTGCTTGCTTGCTAAGGGATGTCAATTCTTAAGCTCCTTAAGCTTGGAGAACAAGAATTCAGTTTGTCAGGTGCCAGCAAGTTCCCAGTCATTTGGAGCTTGGAAATAATCACTACTCAAAGGCATTCATTGTTAGTCACCATCTTCCAAGGGCGATTCTTACAGGTTGGAGTCCTTTGCTGGTTTCACAGTGTTGATGTCCCAGCTATTTCTTGCCTTTTAATGTCGCCATTGAGGAGTCCTTGGGGGTCTCTTAAGCATGGTTGGTCTCTGAGTTTAGAGACATCACTTTTCCCAAACTAGGTAACATCATCAGTGCACTAGCAAGAAAACAACCAAGTTCAGAGGGCACTCATTTCAACCCTGAGCTACAAATACCGTTCTTTTTGGAGTATAAAACAAACTTTCCCCCCACCCTAAAAGAGGGTGGAAGTGTTGGTGCGTCTTATACACTGAATACAGCCATTTTTGGCCTCCCGAAGCCCTGCCCTGCACGTCCCGTTTTTGTGAGAAACGGGGCCATTTTTGCAAAAACAAGGCACACAGAGGCTTTGGTAGGCCTGCAGAGTGCTCCTGAGGGCTTGGGAGGGCAAAAGTGCCCCCATTTTTAGGAAAAATGGGCCAGTTTTTGGCCTCCCAAACCCCCCATGCATTACATTTTTGCCCTCCCCAGCCCCCAGGAGCACTCTGCAGGCCTCCCAAATCCTCTGCGCACACCGTTTTTGCCCTCCCCAGCCCCCAGGAGCACTCTGCAGGCCTCCCAAACCCTCTGCGTGCTCCGTTTCTGCAAAAAACGGGACACACAGAGGGTTTGGGAGGCCTGCAGAGTGTTTCTGGGGGCCGGGGAGGGCAAAACCTTTTTTTTTTCTTATTTACCTCTTCGAAATCGTGGTGCGCCGTATACACCAATGCATCTTATAGTCCGAAAAATACGGTATTCTTTTCTTGGAATTTCATCAATGCCTAAAAACCCCACCAATTTCTGCATTTCTCCATTCTTTTGTTATCCAGAGTTGGAATTTTTTTTTGTTTTCTTCTTGAGTAAGAGTATGCTTACATGATGTTTTTTTCCCTCCCTAATTTATTTCCAGGAGACACCAGTGTTAAGGCTCACCTCGTTTCCATTCTTATGAAACTGTTTCGAAAGATGATCAATGTTGAAGTTCCATTTCACCTGACCTTACTGAACATCTGCTTTTCCAATCTTAAGGACCCACCAGCATCTTCCAAGGAGTCTATTCAATTTTATTTAAGTCAGTCGTCACCTTCTTTAAGCTCTGGCAAAGTTTTTCACGTAAGTTTGACACTTCTTAATATACCTAGACTCCTTGACTTGCAACCATTTGTTTAGCATGGTTTCAAGTTACAACAACACTGAAAATAGTGACTTACAACAGCTCCTCAAACTTATGACTGTTGCAGCATCTTCACGGTCACATGATCAAGTATCGGGCACTCGGCAACCAGCGTGTTATTTACAGCGGTGGCAATGCCCCAGGGTAATGTGGTCACCATATGCAACCTTCTCAGTCGGCTTCTGACAAGCCAAATCAGTGAGGAAACCAGATTCACTTAACAGCTGTGTGAATTCTCTGAACCACTGCAGTCTTTTGCTTAATAGACATGGCCAAAGAGGTAATAAAATCAGACGTGATTCATTTAACAACCACCTTGATTAGTAATAGAAATTCTGGTCCGAACTGTGTTCGTAAATCAAAGTGTCATCCCTGAAGCGAACCTGACTGATGCCATCTTTGCGCCTTCATGCCACAAGGCAGAGGGGGAGAAAGGGAAGGGGAAAGTTAGATAGCTTGGCTTTGACGTCAAAATAAAAAGTTTTCTTGTGGGAACCAAGGTCATTCCAACAGGTGGCTGAGAAGAGGAGGAGGGGTGAAATGTAAAATCTGTTACTACCGGTTCTGTGGACGTGGGGGGGGGGATTGGTAATATGACTGAGTGGGCATGGCCAACTTTTTTTTTTTTTTAACTTTTCAAAGCATTTTTTCTAATGCTTTGAAAAGCCTCTCTGCTGATCAGGGAACTCAGCTGGGATCGTCAGAGAGGCTCTTTAAAAAATGTCTCTCTGCCAATCAGGGAACTCAGCTGGGATCGTCAGAGACTTTTCAAAGCATTTTTTTAAACCACCTCTTCGGCCAAGAGGTTACAGAAAAAAATGCTTTGAAAAGCCTCTGATGATCCCAGCTGAGCCACGCGATCATCAGAGGCTTTTTTTTTTACTTTTAAAAGCATTTTTTCTTCGGAAGAGGTTGCAGAAAAAATGCTTTTAAAAGTTTAAAAAAAAGCCTCTGATGATCGTGCGACTCAGCTGAGCATGGTGGAGGGGGCACAGGGATTTTTGCTACCGGTTCTCTGAACCACCCGCCACCATCGTTACCGGATCGAGCGATCCGGTCCGAACCGGGAGCATTTCACCCCTGACTCAGCTCCATTCAGTTGCCCAGACTCCACCCTGCAAGGGATTATGGGGTTGTCAAAAGGAGATGATGATCTGATTGTAGAACGATTCTCTCTTGTGTGTAGTTTAAAAGAGTTCTCTTTTGCTATGTAGACAACAGAAGACAGAAACTCCGAAAACACGAGGATGGAACATCAAGGGGAAGACAGTGATGTTTTATCAGGAGAGAGAAGATGTGTCCAATCTCAGCTCCACACTCCTTGTCTGCCTACAGCAAGTGATCTTCAATGCCCAAGTTCATTACTTCCTGCTGGAATAGATTACGATGTGTTCAACCAGCTTCCAAGTGACATTAAGGAGGAAATAATCTCTAGCCAAAAGGTTAGGAATTCCACAGAAACTGGAGTGTCTGAACTAGGGGCAAAACCACTGTGCCATCCGAAAGCCAAAATAAGCTCCATTTCCTTACATTCTGGAGACCTTGGTCAAAGTACTAGAACTCTAGCATCTTCTGGCATCGCACCCACAAATGAAGAACCCCCACTAGAAAGGCAAAACCCCCACGGAGAAGGCTCTTCCCAAAATCATTCGAGCCAAGGATCAAAAGTGGACCTTCCTCCTTCTGTAGACCCCAAAATGTTTTCTGAACTGCCTGCAGAGATGCAGAAAGAACTGTTGACCGAATGGAAGAGTCAAAAGTATGTTTCCAAAATGCACGTCAGCAAAATTGTGACGCTTAAAGGAACCAAGAAAGGACAGGCGTCATCTCCAGGGTCAAATAGTTTACTACGCTATTTCAAACCAAGATGACTATAATTTGGTGGAAGAGACCACGCTTGCAGATGAATTATGTATCTGGAGATAGAGCCTATTCTAATCTAGGGTTCCTGAGACAGTAAAAAACACACGATTAGTCCCAAAAACCTTCTTTTTATTTCAACGGCTGTGAATTCTGTTCATTCACAGCCCGTAATGAGTCACAAATATTTTGTAAAGAGTCCGACAGAAGTCTGCCATAGTCCTTTGGGATAAGGCTGATAAGCACTCACCTTTATCTCCCTTGACACACCTGCCAAAGATCTAATTGGCAATTAGCTTTGCAAGGCCACACGGAGCACAGAGTCAAAACGGAGCTTCAGAACTTAAATCAACCAGAACGAACAAAGTTGCTTCCTACAAAGGCTCACGTGCCTTTGCTCCTCCTTTATGTCTTATGGGAGGAGCCAATGATCTCCAAGCCCTACTCCCAAGTCGCCCCTTTTGTCTTAACTGTTCTTGCCTTCTGGCAGCTCTGCGCATGCGCAAACTGGGAACAGGCTCCCCCTGTTCCTCTGCCTTGCTGATGTCCGACTCTGGAGGCTCCGGAGGCATCACATAACTCCCAGATAGCCCTGGCCCCATCTTTGCCTCTTACGCAGAGCCCTCGCCCGAGCCTTCCCCAGACTCCAGGACTGGCCCATGTTCCTCCCCAACCTCCTCACTGTCCGACTCTGCTGCCAGCTTCGCAGGACGCTGGCAGATCACAACAGAGCCTTCCTTCAGCCAAAGATGGCTAAGGTAATACTGTTTAAGAAAATGAAGGAAATTTCTTTTTAATGCATCCGTATAATTTCCTCTCCAGATATTGTATTTCCCAAGAATAGCTATCCAGGATACCTTAAAATCAATTTGGCTGGGAAATTTGACAATTGTAAATGTATCAGAGTGGGAAAGCGAAGTTCATACGTGCACATATTTGCAAATGAAACAGACCTCCCATACAATTTTGACACATAGGTTCCTGAGCATGAAAATGGTTTACTACCTAAAAATAAACGTCCCTTAAAAATTTGAAGAATATGTAGAGGCAAAGGAAAGGATGTCGAAATACAAAGCTGTTGCAATAATTTTTCTCTTTTTCCTTAGTCGTAGATGCTAGAGGCTAAGGCACCATCCTGGTCTACTTTGATTCGTGTAGATTTCTAATTGCTAGCATTCTTAGCGGCAGCCATACTGGATTGAGAATCCTGGGAGTTGAGTCCAGACACCTTAAAAGTTGCTCAGGTTGAGAAACACTGCTAGAGGGTTACATATTCTTGCCATTGGAAGAACAGTAGCAATAGCAACAGCACATAGACTTATATATCACTTCACAGTGCTTTTACAGCCCTCTCTAAGCAGTCAGCCTATTGACCCCAACAGTCTGGGTCCTCGTTTTACCCACCTCGGAAGGATGGAAGGCTGAGTCAACCTTGAGCCTGGAGAGATTTGAACTGCCAAATTGCAGGCAGCAGAAGTAGCCCGCAGTACTGCACTCTAACCACTGTGCCACCATGGCAGTACAGCAGTCTAACCACTGCACCACAAGCAGAATGAGGCCCTAGACCTGAGAATACATGTAATCCTCCAGATTAGAGAGCCCCCCCTTTTTTTTTTGGTCTTGGCTCCCCCTCCCAAAATGGTTGTGCCACTTCAAGAAACATTTTAGAAAGCAAATGGGAGGCTGAGAAGAAGTCAATTGTTAAGTATTTGGGGGGAAACCATAGAAGTGGCACTTAGATCAGTCTTCAGAAAACCTAGATATTATTCTCTGTGGTTTGGTTGATCAGTAAATCTGCTTTCAGCTGCATTTCAAGACCAGCAGCCAGGAAAGAGCAGAGTAACTAGAAATATGAAATATGAATGGTGGACATGAGCAAATTAGAGAGAATCTAGTGATAAATAAGAAAAGGGGGAAGAAGAGACGTTTCCAACTGCCAATGCTAAGCTCTTGATTGCTTCCCCAGGTTAAAACATAGCCTTAGACATGGAAAAGGTGTCCATGTTTCTCACCTAAGTGGGAATTTGAATTCAAGGAAGGTATTTGGTTTTGGCTTTTCGTCCTGGGCACCTGAAAGAGTAGAAACACGCAGCAAATCTGTTTCCTTTCTGTTCTAGTGTAGTATAAAGCTTATCAGATCCTCATCTTCCATTTTATGCTCTTTAAGTAACCTTGAAGCAAGGAAAAATTTTAGTCGCATCTACTCCTATCTCAGATTTTTGGCTACCTGAAAAGCCACAGTGTCTTATGTGAATGCGGTCAATGATGGCGAACCTTTTTGGCCCCTAGTGCCCAAACCGGAACGTGCATGCATGCACATATATGTGCGCCAGTGGTGAAATGTAAAATTTGTTACTACCGGTTCTGTGGGTGTGGCTTGGTGGTGGTGGTGGGTAATGTGACTGGGTGGGCGTGACCAACTTTTTTTTTTTTAACTTTTCAAAGCATTTTTTCTAATGCTTTGAAAAGCCTCTGCCGATCAGGCAACTCAGCTGGGATTGTCAGAGAGGCTTTTTAAAAAATACCTGATCTGTCTGTCAATCAGGGAACTCAGCTGGGATCGTCAGAGACTTTTCAAAGCATTTTTTTTACCACCTCTTCAGCCAAGAGGTTGCAGAAAAAAATGCTTTGAAAAGCCTCTGACAATCCCAGCTGAGCAGCACGATCATCAGAGGCTTTTTTTTTTTTACTTTTAAAAGCATTTTTTCGGTGGAAGAGGTTGTAGAAAAAATGCTTTTAAAAGTAAAAAAAAAAAAAGCCTCTGATGATCGTGCGACTCAGCTGGACATTGTAGGGGGGGCGGGCGCAGGGATTTTTGCTACCAGTTCTCCGAACCACCCGCCGCCATCGCTACCGGATCAGGCGATCCGGTCTGAACCGGGAGCATTTCACCCCTGCTCTCCACCATCTTGAGATTGGAAATGCCACAAACTGACAATCCCAAAGGTGCTTTTTCAGGAGGCAACTGGACTTTCTTTTTTCTTCTTTGAAGATGTTTCACTTCTCATCTCCTGAAAAAGCATCTTTGGGACAACCATGACCGGATGACTGAGAATCTCAATACAGATTTTTAGAAACTGACAATATCCTTTCCTCCAAACATGGAAAGAAGGGGCTGGGAAAGGCGGGGGGGGATTCTACTTTGCATCCCTCCCCACCCCCACCCCCAATGTTGAGTGAAGTTCTCGACCCCAAAAAAACTTGCCTATCTCTTCTTGACATTAGACCAAACGTGGACCTGTTGTATATTGAAGACAAATTTCCTAGCACCCTCTGGCAGGGTTTTTATGTTATTGTTTCCCTTAACATCTTTAATCCACTCTTGCAATCGGTCACAAAGTTTAACAGGGTCATGGGCATAACAGAATTGATCACCGAAGGCGTTAGAAAGCCTCCCAAATCCACCTGGAGGATTATGGTAAGTCTGGTGTGTTCTGGGTTCCTGAAAGAGAAGAAGAATGGGGATTTATATCAGTAAGAGTTCTGAGGAACCTCCTTCCCCACCATCTCTGAACCGAGGGTGGATCGGTGGATTTCAGTGGTGAAATCCACATTTTTTTTTACTACCGGCCCTGTGGGCGTGGCTTGGTGGGCATGGCAGGGGAAGGATACTGCAAAATCCCCATTCCCTCTCCACTCCTGGGGGAAGGATATTGCAAAATCTCCATTCCCACCCCACTCTGGGGCCAGCCAGAAGTGGTATTTGCTGGTTCTCCAAACTACTCAAAATTTCCATTACCAGTTCTCTGAACTGCTCAAAATTTCCACTACTGGTTCTCCAGAACCTGCTGGATTTCACCCCTGCCTCTGGACTAAAATAACTTTTGCATGATGATTATCTAGTCTATAGCTCCTCCACCTGTTTCCCAAGGTCACTGACTTATGGACTTCAGCTCCAGAGGTGGGTTTCAGCAGGTTTTGACCAGTTCTGGAGGACCGGTAGCAGAAATTTTGAGTGTTTTGAGTAGTTCGGAGAACCGGTAACCGGATTTCACCCCTGGTTTTAACCTCTGCTAAGTGCAGGAATCCCTTTGACCTTTTCCTCCTTCTCCAAAAAGGCGATCGATAAGAGTCTGCTGGTTCCCTCCCTCCAAATTTCTCCACCTAACCCAGAGGTGTCAAACTCAAGGCATCAGGGCGATGCTTAAATCCAGCCTGGGGTGCTGGCCTAGAAATATCAAAGGACCGGCCCATGGTGCCTCTGGTGGCTAAAATGGGCTGTGTGCACCCACCCACCTCATGCCTCATTTCCACCCGCCATGGCTGCCTGCAGCACTCTGCCAGCCAAAAACATGTCGAAAAACAGGCCGAAACAGCCAGCAGATGCTGCAGGAGGCCATGGTGAAAACGAGGCTCGGGGGGGGTCACACGCGGATCCCCCGTGCTCCATTTTGGCCGGTAGGGTGCTGCAGGAGGCATCAGTCCCATCCACCCCCCGGTGCCGCCCCCCCCCCACCGGCCTGCGGAGAACTACAATGCTGATCCAGCCTTCGAAGAAATCCAGATTGACACCTGTGACCTAACCCATCTGATCATAGCTTAATCTTGGCTTGCAGCACTCAAACTTTACAAGTCTCTGCTTTCTCCAACAAACTTTTTAAAGATGAGTGTAGAAAAAGTTACATGCACACATTCAGGTAATAACATCAAGCCATCATCTGACAACTTCTGGAAAATGAGTAGAGTCAGGCTTCCGGCTTTCAGGTTAAATGTTTCCCCAGGAATAAAACATTTTGCAATTCAGCAGCTCAAAATCCTTACTCTGGTAGTGGGAGACAGACATAGCCAGAAGAGAAAGTGGTGCCCCGAATATAAGCTGGAGTTGGAAGTAAATCGGGATGAACCACACTGATGGCTATAAGAAAGAACAAAGCAAACGTTGAAATCTTTTTAAACAGCCAAGCTGTCTGAATCTGAAAGCTGTCCAAATATGAAATCAGATTTTATTAAACCACAGATCATGCTGATCATTGAAGTAGAAGGAAAAGGGGTTTATGTATCCAAACATGGAGTTTGGGTAGCTTTTTTTTGGCAGCCTGATACCATCAGTAACAGTAACACAGTTAGAAGGGACCTTGGAGGTCATCTAGTCCAACCCCCTGCTCACGCAGGAGACCTGTACTAGGGATTCGAACCGCCAAACTGGTGCCCTTTCTGATCGACAAGCTCAGCGTCTTAGCCACTGAGCCACCTAGCCAGGCTACATCAAGAAGTGTAGGTCTTTCTAAGCAAGCTTGCTAAGAAAAGGAGTATTGTTAGCCAGCACAATACACCTGCCTGGAATGGGATAACTCGCCACAGCCAACTTGCCACAGGACAACTCACTGTGGAACAATTCAACTCAATCATTCAAAATAATGAAAAATAATTTTAATTTTTGTCATTCACCTTTTGTCCTTCCTTTGGCATCCTTTCTTTAATGATTCTATTTGACTATTTCTTCAGTATTAGTGTAACTCTTGCCCCAGGGCGAGTTGGACGCAATGAGTTATTACAGACGCCGCCTGACAGTCCCTCTGATAAACTCTGACGTAAAAGATTAGGGTGATGACCAGTGGTGAAATATAAAATTTGTTACTACCGGTTCTGTGGGCGTGGCTTGGTGGAGGGGTAATGTGACGGGGTGGGCGTGGCCGATTTCCTTTTTTTTACTTTTACTTTTAAAAGCATTTTTTGTACAACCTCTTTGGCCAAAGAGGTTGTAAAAAAAATGCTTTTAAAAGGCTCTGACGATGCCAGCTGAGTTGCCTGATCATCAGAGGCTTTTGTTTTCTTTTAAAAGCAATTTTTTTTTTTGCTTTTAAAAGAAAAAAAAGCCTCTGATGATCAGGCAACTCAGCTGGGATCAGCCAAAGAAGTTGTAGAAAAAATGCTTTTAAAAGGCTCTGACGATCCCAGCTGAGCCGCGCAATCATCAGAGGCTTTTTTTTTTACTTTTAAAAGCATGAAGGAAAAAACGCTTTTAAAAGTAAAAAAAAAAAGCCTCTGATGATCGCGTGGCTCAGCTGGGCATGGGGGGGGGGCAGGGATTTTTGCTACCAGTTCTCCGAACCACCCGCCGCCATCGCTACCAGATCGGGCGATCCG